GTGTTGTAGACCAACAATTAACTCTGGCTTCATAGTCCTCCAATTTAAAATATCTTACCAGTCTTAAAGTTCTCTTTAATACATTCTCTCTCTCTCTCTCCTCTCTCTCTCTCTCTCCTCTCTCTCTCTCTCTCTCTCTCTCTCACTCTCTCTGGAGTCTGGGGAGAGTGCCTTCTGCTTTACTATCCTGCCATCTTTTACGTTGATTTTTTCCCCACTTCTCCCTCCATTTTCCGCGGTCCTCCCTCCCCCCTCCATTTCGCACCCCTTTACTACTCTCCCCTTCCTCTCATTTCTTCTCTCTCTCCTCTCCTCCCACTATTCACAAACACACACTTGTTGCTCCTTCCTATTCACTGTCAGGTGTTAGTTCATTTTTCCACTCACCGTGAGAGCACTTTTCCCCTCTCCCTCTTTCTTGTTCAAGCTTCATTACTCCTTCTTTCTTGCTTCATCTTCATAACTTTCTTCTTCCATCTTTAAGACTCCTTCTTTCTTGCTCCATCTTCATGACTCTCTCTTTCTTGCTCCATCTTCATGACTCTCTCTTTCTTGCTCCATCTTCATGACTCTCTCTTTCTTGCTCCATCTTCATGACTCTCTTTCTTGCTCCATCTTCACGACTCTCTCTTTCTTGCTCCATCTTCACGACTCTCTCTTTCTTGCTCCATCTTCATGACTCTCTCTTTCTTGCTCCATCTTCATGACTCTCTTTCTTGCTCCATCTTCACGACTCTCTCTTTCTTGCTCCATCTTCACGACTCTCTCTTTCTTGCTCCATCTTCATGACTCTCTCTTTCTTGCTCCATCTTCATGACTCTCTCTTTCTTGCTCCATCTTCATGACTCTCTTTCTTGCTCCATCTTCATGACTCTCTCTTTCTTGCTCCATCTTCACGACTCTCTCTTTCTTGCTCCATCTTCACGACTCTCTCTTTCTTGCTCCATCTTCATGACTCTCTTTCTTGCTCCATCTTCATGACCTCTCTTTCTTGCTCCATCTCATGACTCTCTCTTTCTGCTCCATCTTCATGACTCTCTTTCTTGCTCCATCTTCATGACTCTCTCTTCTTGCTCCATCTTCATGACTCTCTTTCTTGCTCCATCTTCATGACTCTCTCTTTCTTGCTCCATCTTCATGACTCTCTCTTTCTTGCTCCATCTTCATGACTCTCTTTCTTGCTCCATCTTCACGACTCTCTCTTTCTTGCTCCATCTTCATGACTCTCTCTTTCTTGCTCCATCTTCATGACTCTCTCTTTCTTGCTCCATCTTCATGACTCTCTTTCTTGCTCCATCTTCACGACTCTCTCTTTCTTGCTCCATCTTCAGACTCTCTCTTTCTTGCTCCATCTTCATGACTCTCTTTCTTGCTCCATCTTCACGACTCTCTCTTTCTTGCTCCATCTTCATGACTCTCTCTTTCTTGCTCCTCTTCATGACTCTCTCTTTCTTGCTCCATCTTCATGACTCTCTTTCTTGCTCCATCTTCATGACTCTCTCTTTCTTGCTCCATCTTCATGACTCTCTCTTTCTTGCTCCATCTTCATGACTCTCTCTTTCTTGCTCCATCTCATGACTCTCTTTCTTGCTCCATCTTCATGACTCTCTCTTCTTGCTCCATCTTCATGACTCTCTCTTTCTTGCTCCATCTTCATGACTCTCTTTCTTGCTCCATCTTTATGACTCTCTCTTTCTTGCTCCATCTTTATGACTCTCTCTTTCTTGCTCCATCTTCACGACTCTCTCTTTCTTGTTCCATCTTCATGACTCTCTTTCTCTGCTCCATCTTCATGACTCTCTCTTTCTTGCTCCATCTTCATGACTCTCTCTTTCTTGCTCCATCTTCATGACTCTCTCTTTCTTGCTCCATCTTCATGACTCTCTTTTCTTGCTCCATTTTTTATGACTCTCTCTTGCTCCATCTTTATGACTCTCTCTTTCTTGCTCCATCTTCATGACTCTCTCTTTCCTGCTCCATCTCATGACTCTCTCTTTCTTGCTCCATCTTCATGACTCTCTCTCCTTGCTCCATCTTCATGACTCTCTCTTTCTGCTCCATCTTCATGACTCTCTCTTTCTTGCTCCATCTTCATGACTCTCTCTTTCTTGCTCCATCTTTATGACTCTCTCTTTCTTGCTCCATCTTTATGACTCTCTCTTTCTTGCTCCATCTTCATGACTCTCACTTTCTTGCTCCATCTTCATGACTCTCTCTTTCTTGCTCCATCTTCATGACTCTCTCTTTCTTGCTCCATCTTCATGAAATCTCTTTCTTGCTCCATCTTCATGACTCTCTCTTTCTTGCTCCATCTTCATGACTCTCTCTTTCTTGCTCCATCTTCATGACTCTCTCTTTCTTGCTCCATCTTCATGACTCTCTTTCTTGCTCCATCTTTATGACTCTCTCTTTCTTGCTCCATCTTTATGACTCTCTCTTTCTTGCTCCATCTTCATGACTCTCTCTTTCTTGCTCCATCTTCATGACTCTCTTTCTTGCTCCATCTTCACGACTCTCTCTTTCTTGCTCCATCTTCACGACTCTCTCTTTCTTGCTCCATCTTCATGACTCTCTCTTTCTTGCTCCATCTTCATGACTCTCTTTCTTGCTCCATCTTCACGACTCTCTCTTTCTTGCTCCATCTTCGACTCTCTCTTTCTTGCTCCATCTTCATGACTCTCTCTTTCTTGCTCCATCTTCATGACTCTCTCTTTCTTGCTCCATCTTTATGACTCTCTCTTTCTTGCTCCATCTTCACGACTCTCTCTTTCTTGCTCCATCTTCATGACTCTCTCTTTCTTGCTCCATCTTCATGACTCTCTTTCTTGCTCCATCTTCGTGACTCTCTCTTTCTTGCTCCATCTTCATGACTCTCTTTCTTGCTCCATCTATATACAAGTCTGTTTCTTATTCCATCTATATATATGCCTGTCTGTCTCTTCCATCTTCATAACTCTCACAAGATCTTCAATGCAAATCATAAGTTTTTACAATGTAAATAAAAATAAGTGTAAATAGAAAAAATCTGTGTAAATTGGAAAAATCTGTGTAAATTGGAAAAATCTGTGTAAATTGGAAAAATCTGTGTAAATTGGAAAAATCTGTGTAAATTGGAAAAATCTGTGTAAATTGAAAAAATCTGTGTAAATTGGAAAAATCTGTGTAAATTGGAAAAATCTGTAAATTGGAAAAATCTGTGTAAATAGAAAAACTCTGTAAATTGGAAAAATCTGTGTAAATCGAAAATATCAGTGCAAATCAGAAAAATAATAGTAAATCCAACAATTCAGTGTAAATAAGAAAATTCTGTGTAAAACGAAAAAAATAAATTAAGTATAAATCGAAAAAATAAGACTAAATCTAAAAAAACAGTAAATCGAAATAATCAAAGTAAAAAAATTCAGTGTATTTTTTAAATCAACGTAAATCGAAAAATCAGTTATAAAAAAAAAGTTTACCAGTGTCATCATTAAACTTTTCAAATCAAATTTTTTTACAGTGTAAATCAGAAGGTAACTCCCCCTCCCCTGTAAATTTTTAGTGTAAATCAGAAGGTAACTCCCCCTCCCCTGTAATTTTTTACAGTGTAAATCAGAAGGTAACTCCCCCTCCCCTGTAAATTTTTTTACAGTGTAAATCAGAAGGTAACTCCCCCTCCCCTGTAAATTTTTTTACAGTGTAAATCAGAAGGTAACCCCCCCCTCCCCTGTAATTTTTTTAGTGTAAATCAGAAGGTAACTCCCCCTCCCCTGTAAATTTTTTAGTGTAAATCAGAAGGTAACTCCCCTCCCCTGTAATTTTTCAGTGTAAATCAGAAGGTAACTCCCCCTCCCCTGTAAATTTTTAGTGTAAATCAGAAGGTAACTCCCCCTCCCCTGTAATTTTTCAGTGTAAATCAGAAGGTAACTCCCCCTCCCCTGTAATTTTTCAGTGTAAATCAGAAGGTAACTCCCCCTCCCCTGTAATTTTTTCAGTGTAAATCAGAAGGTAACTCCCCCTCCCCTGTAAATTTTTTAGTGTAAATCAGAAGGTAACTCCCCCTCCCCTGTAATTTTTCAGTGTAAATCAGAAGGTAACTCCCCCCCCCTGTAATTTTTCAGTGTAAATCAGAAGGTAACTCCCCTCCCCTGTAATTTTTCAGTGTAAATCAGAAGGTAACTCCCCCTCCCCTGTAAATTTTTAGTGTAAATCAGAAGGTAACTCCCCCTCCCCTGTAATTTTTTTCAGTGTAAATCAGAAGGTAACTCCCCCTCCCCCTGTAAATTTTCCAGTGTAAATACAAAGGTAACTCCCCCTCCCCTGTAAATTGCTAACCAGTGCACATCACGATACAATCTTGGTTAGTGTAAACCTCTTAAGTAATGTAAATCAAACAGAAGCTTGTAAAATAAAAGTTTCAACGTTCTGTAAACGCTCGAGTAAATCATTTACCATGGCACGGTGAGGTAGCAGTAATTTACATACTGATGCAACTGCCAACTGTTTGCCAACACTGTGAGTGAAAGAGAGAGAGAGGAGAGAGAGGAAGGAGAGAGAGAGAGAGAGAGGGGAGAGAGAGAGAGAGAGAGAGAGAGAGAGAGAGAGAGAGAGAGCTTCTTAAAGAGCCAAGAAGTGACCATTAGAGTTCAATCCCAGTAACTCACTTCCTTAATCTCGTTCTCTCTCCCTTTCTCTCTCCCTTTCCCTTTCTCCCTTCCTCTCCCTTTCTCCCTTCCTATCTCTCTCTCCCTTTCCCTTTCTCCCTTCCACTCTCTGCCACACCATCCTTCTCATTAGTGTAGCCACCGTGATGGCCTCCATCTACCTCGCCTCTCCTCTCTCCCTCTCCACTTCATTCATCAGCCTACTCTTTCTCCCTCATTTAATCAACAGTTTTACCGAGTAGTGAACATTTTATAAGAGATATTCTCTCTCTCTCTCTCTCTCTCTCTCTCTCTCTCTCTCTCTCTCTCTCTATCTCTCTCTCTCTCTCTCTCTCTCTCTCTCTCTCTCTGACTTACCTGAAGTACTTAATAAGTGCCACCAGCTGTGAGGTTGGTCTTTGGCGCTGGTCCTTGCTGACCAGTCTTACCACTGCTTCCTGCAGACCCAGCGGTACCTTGGGCAGCACATTGTTCACCTGTTCTCCCACCTGCAACACAAAACACGTCTCGTGGTTAGTTACCACCCAGGCTGGGTACGTTTTTCACCAGCTACACAAGAATTAGTTACCACCCAGGCTGGGTACGTTCCTCACCAGCAACACAAGAATTAGTTACCACCCCAGGCTGGGTACGTTCCTCACCAGCAACACAAGAATTAGTTACCACCCCAGGCTGGGTACGTTCTTCACCAGCAACACAAGACGCAACAAGTAAAACAAGGGAAGTAAAATAGGGAAGAGGGCAACAGGGAACAAAAAAGAAGGAAACAGAGAGGGGGCAAATATGAAGCAGGTTACATATATACTACAATAACGAGTGAAACAAGGAACAGGGAGGAAAGAGGGAGCAGTTAAGAGGAACAAAGGAGCAACTTAGAGGAACAGAGAGCAGGTGAGAGTAGTAGCAGAAGCAGCAGCAGCAACAGAACAGCAACAGCAGCAGCAACAGCAACAGAACAGCAACAGCAGCAGCAACAGCAGCCGGAGTCAACGTTCTTCCTTAACACTCAAATATTTAGATCATCTCCAACACCTAATACTGAGACACAAATATCTGGCAATAAACTCAAGAGAATATACTGATATACAGAAAGGAAGGAAGGACGGAGGGAAGGAAGGAAGGACGGAGGGAAGGAAGGACGGAGGGAAGGAAGGAAGGACGGAGGGAAGGAAGGACGGAGGGAAGGACGGAGGGAAGGAAGGACGGAGGGAAGGAAGGACGGAGGGAAGGAAGGACGGAGGGAAGGAAGGACGGAGGGAAGGACGGAGGGAAGGAAGGACGGAGGGAAGGAAGGACGGAGGAAGGAAGGACGGAGGGAAGGAAGGACGGAGGGAAGGACGGAGGGAAGGAAGGACGGAGGGAAGGAAGGACGGAGGGAAGGACAGACGGCGGGAAGGAAGGACGGAGGGAAGGAAGGACGGAGGGAAGGAAGGACGGAGGGAAGGAAGGACGGAGGGAAGGAAGGACGGAGGGAAGGAAGGACGGAGGGAAGGACGGAAGGAAGGAAGGACGGAGGGAAGGAGACGGAGAGAACGGGAGGGAATCATACAGTGTCTAATAGCTTAGAAGAAGAATCCAGTAGTCTTTATAGTGAGCATGTGACAGAGGATCGAGTCTACACTATTTCCGCCGAAGCATCCACACTGGTTTAACGCTTCACAATGATGATGATAGGTAACACAGTGGCAACTTCAATGAACTTGAGGCTGAAATCCACAACCAGGTGAGGTTTAAATCCACAACCAGGTGAGGTTTAAATCCACAACCAGGTGAGGTTTAAATCCACAACCAGGTGAGGTTTAAATCCACAACCAGGTGAGGTTTAAATCCACAACCAGGTGAGGTTTAAATCCACAACCAGGTGAGGTTTAAATCCACAACCAGGTGAGGTTTAAATCCACAACCAGGTGAGGTTTAAATCCACAACCAGGTGAGGTCTAAATCCACAACCAGGTGAGGTCTAATCCACAACCAGGTGAGGTTTAAATCCACAACCAGGTGAGGTTTAAATCCACAACCAGGTGAGGTTTAAATCCACAACCAGGTGAGGTTTAAATCCACAACCAGGTGAGGTCTAAATCCACAACCAGGTGAGGTTTAAATCCACAACCAGGTGAGGTTTAAATCCACAACCAGGTGAGGTCTAAATCCACAACCAGGTGAGGTTTAAATCCACAACCAGGTGAGGTTTAAATCCACAACCAGGTGAGGTTTAAATCCACACCCAGGTGAGGTCTAAATCCACAACCAGGTGAGGTTTAAATCCACAACCAGGTGAGGTTTAAATCCACAACCAGGTGAGGTTTCAATCCACAACCAGGTGAGGTTTAAATCCACAACCAGGTGAGGTTTAAATCCACAACCAGGTGAGGTTTAAATCCACAACCAGGTGAGGTTTAAATCCACAACCAGGTGGGATTTAAATCACCAGAGGTGAGCACTGAGAATCGCTTCTGTTATTAAGTTCTCAAACAGACTGATGGACCCGAATCATCCTGGTTAATGGACCGGATTTTATGTTGCTTCCAGTTAGCTTAAATACAAGTGATCACCTAGGTGTGTGTGTGTGTGTGTGTGTGTGTGTGTGTGTGTGTGTGTGCGCACCTATCTGTGGTTGCAGGGGTCGAATCATAGCTCCTGGGCCCACCTCTTCACTAGTCCCTACTATGGTCACTCTCTCCCTGCTCCATGAGCTTTGTCAAACCTCGTCTTAAAACTATGTATAGTTCCTGCCTCCACTACGTCACTTGCCAGACTTCCACTTCCTGACAACTCTATGACTAAAGAAATACTGTGTGTGTGTGTGTGTGTGTGTGGTGTGTGTGTGTGTGTGTGTGTGTGTGTGTGTGTGTGTGTGTGTGCACCCCAGTTCCTGTCCATTTTAAGGGATTATCAGTACTTAATAAAACGCAGGTGCACGCACATTCACATACAAGCAGGTTCACGCAGACGCGCGCGATCTTGCAAGTATGCACGCATGCACGCACGCATGCACGCACGCATGCACGCACGCATACACACAAATACAAAACTATTAGTATCATATATTTTCCTAAATTTCTCCTAGTTCTACATTTCCTGCATTTTCCCAGATTTTCTACATTTTCCAATACTTTTTTTGATCTGCCTTCCTGCCTTTTCCCAATATTTTCCTATACGTTTCCTAGATCTTAAAATAACACGATCAATACCATTTTAATAATGGCTGGGAATCACTGATCCCGAGGGACGACAAACTGATCACCTTATGTCTAGCGCATCGTGAGGATTGATCCAGGTTCTTGGATCAAGAGATACTCGCCGGCACCATGGCACCTCCATGGAGGGAACAATAGGAAGAGGAAGTAATAACGATGATAAAAGAGAAACAACACACACACACCCTCGTTGCCACCGTGTTGTTGTGGTGGTGGTGAAGGGTTACCACGACTCAAGCCTTCTTTAGTCCTGCCTCACGGGAGTCTAGAAAATGTATAATAATAATAATAATAATAATAATAATAATAATAATAATAATAATAATAATAATAATAATAATAATAATATCTTTATTTCTACAAGTATATGTACAAAGTATACAGATCATAACTGACATCAATGACATACTACTATATAGAAAGCCTAGTTATGCAGAGAATTTCGGGCAAATTAGGTCAATTTTGTCCCCAGGATGTGGCCCACACCAGTCCACTAACACCCAGGTACCTGATTTTATTGATGGGTGAACATGGAGAGCAGGTGTCTTAAGGAAACACGTCCTAATGTTTTCCAGCCGTACTGTGGAATCATCCCCGGACCTCCTTTGTGTGAGCTGAGTGTGCTTGTGATTGAGTTACGGGACACTACTGACCAAGTTATCATCTTATATCCAATGCATCGTGAGGACTGATCCATGTTCTTGGATCAATGGACACTCACCGGCACCTCCCTGGAGGGAACAATGTTGACACAGAATAAAACACAGCACAAACATACACAAGTCTGCCACCGTGTTGTTGTGGTGGTGTTAAGGATCACCACAACTCGCGCCTTCTTGAGACCTGCCTCCCGGGAGTCAGGAATATATATAGTATATATGTGTATGTGTATATATATATATATTGACCGAATAGGAGCTGGAAATAAGAGGAAAATACAATTCTCCCAATTAGGTCAGGTGGAGCTTTTGTCTAAACCCAAGAGAGCCAAACACCAGCTCCCGCCCTCCACTGCGCATCATCCCAATGTAAGTCACAAACAACAGGCCACGCAATTTTAGCATTATTATTATTATTATTATTATTATTATAATCAAAAAGAAGCGCTAAGCCACAAGGGCTATACCAATTTTAGCAAATTTCGATTTTTTATTCTATTTTTCTGCTAAAATTGCAATTCTTTTGGTTAAAAAAAAACATTAAAATAAAAGTGCCTAAATTTACAGATTACAATTAATTTTCATATTTAATCAACAAATTTAGGGAGCTGACTGGCTGAGAGCTTGCTATCTGCTGAGAGAGTGGCTGTCCGCTGAGAGCTATCTGCTGAGAGCGTGGCTGTCTCCCGACTCACTCATTCCGATTTTGCATCCCGTGAATCGAGGATAAAATGCTCGACCATTAACCCATAATATAAACACCGAGAGGTGTGTAACTCTCAGTGTATGTGCCCTGACAGCTTACTGTCATCCCTATAACAATAAATATCTCATCCTTAACTGGTCGAGTGCAGGTGACACGCAGCCTTAATGACCCTAATGTGGTTGATAGGCTTTAAATCCCCATGAACCAACCCATACTTTTGTCCGCTCGTACCTGATGCTCCAGTAGGCACCCTAGTACCTAACAAGATACCTAAAAGTGCTAACTAGCTCACGTGTGAACCTACTGCCACTCAGCTCACACAATGAATGTTTGTGGTTCGATCGCCGGTACGAATGGCAACATTTAGTTGTTTCGTCAAGACACCTGCTGTCCCTGTTCACCTAGCAGTAAGTACACACCTGGGTGTTAATTGACTGGTGTGGGTCGCATTCTGGAGACAAAATCTAATTTGCCAGAACTGCTCTACATAACCAGGGGCTTTCTATACAGTATGTCACTGATGTCAGCTATGGTCTGTACAAATTATATCATGTACTTGTAGAAATAAAGATTATTTATTATTATTATTATTATTATTATTATTTTATACAGTGAGATGAATATCTTTGATTGTATAAACACACCTAGTGTATATACACTAGGAAGTATATGTCTCTCAGTGTATATACACTAAAAAGTATGTCTCTCAGTGTATATATTGAGAAGTATGTCTCTCAGTGTATATACATTGAGAAGTATGTCTATAAGTGTATATACATTAAGTATATATATCTC